ATTCATGTAAGTGAATTGATGTAAGTCGATGATGCGAGGGCGACAATGACTCGAGTTTCCGTTTCTTTTTGGATTTTTGCATTTCTTCTTATTCACCCTTTTTCACCTCGCTTCTTCTTTTTCGAATTCTCAATCCTCCTTTTCCAGTAATTGTTAGAGTATCGATTTAATAATTAATGATATCACATTTTCAATTTTTTCGCTTTAAACAGGAGTATATCTTGATACTGCTATATAGATTGTTAAATTTTAAGTATAGTATTTAAGATTAAGTTAGACTAAGTTAGAAGACTAAGATAGATTGTAAAAAGAATGAGCGAAGAAGTGTAAAAGATTTTTGTAAAGATCGATGTAAAAGACTTTTGTAATGATCGATGTAAAAGACTTTTGTAAAGATCGATGTAAAAGACTTTTGTAAAGATCATTGTAAAAGACTTTTGTAAAGATCGATGTATTGAAATTTATGTTTCAGATTTATTTATTTGTATTTTCGTAATCATTAATTTTCAATATTTTTTTGTTTTTATTTTTTTTAGGTTTAGGTGGGTCTCGATGCGTAGTCACCTCCTCGTCGGTGAGACCCGGTAATTGGCATCGTTTTCCAAAATTCTTTTTATTTTTTTTTTTTTCAAAATTCCCACATTACAAATTATTTCTTCATTTTCAAAATACTTTAAACTTAGAAATTTGGATATATATTTCATTTCAGAAATTTAATTTTCACGAAAACGATGGCAAGCCAAGAACTACGCACACCTGCAGTCCAGTCTACTAAACATTACTTAATTATAAATTTAATTATTTTCAATTATAAATGGACAGACTGGACTGCAGGTATACAGTAAAATAAGTTATTATACAATTCAAATTTGTTGTAAACGTATCAAGATATTCGTTTCCTATACTTAAAGCGAAACATGAAAAAATTCTTTCCTTTTCGTTACTTTTTTACTTTCATCTCGAATTTCCATTTTTATGGCTACGCCTTGATCGTCCCAATAGTTTCTTCCATACGTTTATTTATCCATACGGTTATTTTATAGCTTGTTGCCTCTTTCATCGCTTATTTCGACTCATTATCGACCACGTGTCACGCAATCGATGGTAAGAATCGTAGGACGGGTGCTCTACTTCCGGTGGCCAGTCGAGGGTCCGCGCTCCCATCGATTGGTGCTTTTTGGCGCTCGATAGGAGTTAGATCTCGTGGTCGAACGTCGTTCTCGTAAATCGGCTCCGGTGGTCGGGGATTTATCCCTTGCTCCTTCCTGTGTCGTCAGAACGTAAGTCGTTTCTTCTGCGAGATCGCTGTCGTAACCCTTGATTGGTCACGACTGGCAAGTATCATCTGTCCAATGATTTTTATAAGTCCATTGATATAAGTCGTGATATGAGGCCGATAGTGAATTTCGTTTCTTCTCAATTTTTCCATTTTTTTTTTGTTCTCTTCTCTTCTTTCTTGCTATTGTTGTTCTTTTTTTTTTTTTTACTTTTTTCTGAAGGATTTTATTCTTGTTTGCAGGAGTTTTTTTGTTTGTTAATAAAAGGGATGTTAAAATTGTTATCATTTATTCTTGTAACATTCGAATATTATTCTCGTTTCGCTTTAAACAGGAGATGGATATCTTGATACGGATTCATTTTAAATATTAAGTATTAAGATTTGGATTAAGTTAATTTTAAGATGTAGATTAAGTTAATTTTAAGATTTAAATTAAGTTAATTTTAAGATGTAGATTAAATTAATTTTAAGGACTAGAGTAAGTTAATTTTAAGATGTAGATTAAGTTAATTTTAAGATGTAGATTAAGTTAGTTTAAGATCTCATCGATGGACAACGATGGACAACGTGGGACGACGTGGGACGACGTTGGACAACGATGGACAATAATGAACAACGTGGGACGACGTTGGACAACGATAGACAACGTGGGAGTTCTTAATTTATTATTAAGTTTATTGATAAATAATTTTTAATTTATGTGCGATAAGTAGATAATAAGTTGCGATTAATGTTAAACATTTAATTGTGTTCTCTTTTAAATAATTTTTATATCTCTTCTTTTACGTTTTAATATTTTTTTTACTTAATCATTTGTTATAATTTTTTATGTTTCAGGTTTCTTTAATATATTTTAATTTTTGTATTTTCGATTTGTATAATTTTTTATAATTATAATAATTATTTTATAATTTTATAATAATGCATGTATTATAATTACTTTTTATATTTGTAGTGTGTTTTTTACAGGTGGGTCTCGATGCGTAGTCACCTCCTCGTGGTGAGACCTGGTAATTGATATCGTTTTTCATAGATTAATCTTTGAAAATTTTTCAAAAATTATTCTTTAAAAAACGATACCAAGCTAAGAACTACGCAATTTAGTTTAGATTTATTAAAGATTCCTATTGTATATTTTAATCATCTTATCTACGTTTCTGTAAATATATAAAATTTTATATATTTAATATTTAGAAATACAAAAATTTACGTGATTACGTAATTTACAAAATTACATTTGATATTTTTTGATCTATAATTTAGATATCGATGCCATAAAATTAGTTAAAAATCATCACTATTTCCTAAACTCGTGTATTTATAAGTAAATTCAAAAAATAGATAAGAAAAACAAGTAGTTGGAGAAGGATAAAAATAAGATAGAAGGATAAAAAGAGATAGAAATGGTAA